TCTCGCAACACTACTGAGAGGACGTGGAACCCTGAAGTGGCAGGGCATAGTGAGCTGTATTTAGGTCATTAAGAGCCAGATGCTCTCCTTTTTCACTTCCTGCTCATGCAGTGGCTGGGTTTGCTCTGCCTTGCACATCTACCATGATGCACTGCTTTGCCTAAAGCAGCAGGGCCAACCAGAGCCTGAGCCCTCCAGACTGTGATCCCAAACCAACCTTTTCTCTTCAAAAGCTGATCTGCTCCAGGATTTGGTAGAGAAACAAGCAGCTGGCTACCCTGGTGGGCGTGACAGACAGAGAATGCTAGACGCAGAGGCATATGGGCATGGTGCTACAAGATTCCTTAAGCAGGCACCTGGCACTGCCAAATCCTCCATCTAAATAGCTCAAGAATCTGTCTCTCTGCTTGATTAGGCTGCCAACCACTCACACCCACCCCACTAGGTCATCTGCTGGAGCGTCCCGACATCTGCTCATGTGTCTGACATCTTTAACAGCGTGACTACTAAGAGGCCCAGTTTAGTGCATCAAAGGTCCCCATTTCAGTGCTGAGGTCAAACTCGGGAGTTGGCTGCACTATATACAGGCCCTGGTCACGGTGAGATGCTCAACCTAGGACTGTTGAATGAAGATGGCCAGGGCTGTTTATGCCACAGTGCAGCCTGGTGACATCATAATGCTGACTAGGAGATGTCTTGGTCTTTTTTGAACAACAATCACTGGTCAAATAGCTGGGATCCACTAACTTTGAAACCTTTGCCATTGAAATTCATAAGGTTTCATTCTGTTTTGTCTTTGAGATCAGTTTCTGCTGTGTAGCCAAGGCTAGCCTCAAACTCATAGCCCTTCCTTGTGAGTCTCTGGAATTCTTGGATTACAGGCTTGCATTACTACCCCAGGCTCCTGAAGGTTTTAACACACTAATGAATACGAGTTTGACTGAGATAAGAATTTTAAATTATATAAACCTGCCTATATGCATAACTAATAGTGTACCACCAAGTGTTAGTGTGGCCTATGGCCCAAGTCCTTCTTCAGTCACCCTGGAGAGAGCTGTCAGTAGGCAATGAGGACTACAGGACAAGGGGTTCAGTTTGGGACCTTGAGTAGGCTACTTAGCAGACTTAAAGCTCCTCTAATAAGGATTCCTACCTCTTTGGCCTCTGGTATCCCTTCCAAGGCTGAAGAAGGCTATCTCTGTCTATACATAAGAGGCTATTTCGGTTTGGTTGAGAGGTGTCCCGATGGCTCATGCATTAAAGGCATGGTCCCCACCTGGAGAGTTCTGATGAGGTGACTGGATCCTGAGGGCTCTGATCTAATCAATCAAGTGACCCCTCGATGGATTCGTAATGTAATGGCCTCATTGGGAGGTGGTGGGAATGGAGACATGAGGCCTGGTGGAGGAAGTGGATCACTCATGGTGTGACCTAGAAAGATACACACACAGACACACACATGCACACACACACGCACACACTCACACACACTCACACACCCACACACACGCACACACACGCACACACTCGCACACACACATTCACACATGCACACACATGCACGCACACACATGCACACACACGCACGCACATACTCACACACACTCACACACGCATACACATGCATGCACACACGCACACACACGCATGCACACACTCACACACACACACACTCACGCACACACACACGCGCACACACACGCACACACCTTGTCTCCAGCTCCTTTCCTGGGTGTCCCTCCACTTCCCAGATTCCATCACGGGAATAGCTCGCTTCTGCCACACCCTTCTAGCATGAAGTTCTACGGCTCACAGCCACACAGTCATTTGACTAGGGGTGGAACCTCCAAGCCCATGCGTCCGTATGAAGCCCTCTGGGCAAGTTTCTCTCAGGCATTTTGTCACAGCAGTGAACAGCTAACATAGGTCGATGGCTGTTTCCAGCGAGGGCAGCTTCCCTCCAGGTGAGCTGCTTCCCAACCCTCCCGGTGGGGCTGCACAGCAACACTGGGCTTATCTTACTCTTTTGCTTCTCAAGTGCACCTGCTAGTCCTGTAGGCTGGGGCACACAGATGAGAACCGGCATCTAGACTTCCTGCCTGGATTCAGCTGTTCCCAGAAGCAGGGGGCAGGATGGCCAATCTTTGTTGTGGGCCAGGGAAGGGGGCTGGATTCAGAGCTGTCCAAAACTCAGCCCAGCAACTCTGCAATCCTCCAAGCCCTTCCTTCGGGAGAAGTTAGTTTTAAACAATGACCAAGGTTCTGGAAGAACTGGGAAACATCTAGAAAAATCAGTTGTTGGAAACTCCCAGGAAGCCAAGCCTGTAGGCAGGGTACTTTTCATTCCCCCCAAAAAAAATCTAAAAGAGAAAGAGTACTGTTCAGTCACTCGAGAGGCCAAATGCCCAGTTTTCCCTGCAAGTTCACATCCTCCAGAAAGCCGGACCTGCCTGAGGAAGGCATACCACATCTTGGCACTTGTGCCTATTTCTCCACAGCATATATGTTTTGCCAAGAGAGATATGCAAACATATCTTGGTTGCCTTCCAGTTTGCTGGGGCCTGGCCATGAGGGTCAGCTGTTGGTCATACCAGTCCTCCTGCTTTCCAAGTCCTGGTCTACAAAAAGGGCCATTCATTCATGCTGGAGCCGAGGAATGAGTAAGGTTCTCCTGAGGTGTTGTGATTAAGGGGGCAACCACTGAGAAAGGGAAAAGTCAGGGTAGGGTGGTTTCAAAGGGAACAAGCTAAGTCCTGGGGGTGACCGTGTTTATCAATCCCTTTCCTGTTCCTACAACTAATAAGTAGGAGAGGTTTGTTTTCTTCAACTTGGAAGAATTAAAGTACATACAGCATGGCAGTGGCTGTTCTGAGGCCCCTAATGATAATCTCACTGTGGTGATGACATCATGGTGGGAATGAGTGACAGGGAGAGACCTCCCCCAAACCAAATCAGGAAGTTGGAGAGTTGGAGGGACCTTTAGTGGTGCTGGAGTTGGAATCCAGGGTCTTGCGCAGAGCAGGTAAGTGCTCTGTCACTCAGCCACCTGTAGCTTCCTTGTTTTGTTGTAACTTGATCTGGTAAGGACAGCCAGGGTCCCAAGAGAGTGATCTTAATCTCCTCTGAGGAGAACATTCCCATCAGGACCTATGACCTCTCACTAGGGCACGCCTCTTACGGTTTCATAGCCAGCACACTGGGGCCAGGCTTCCCGACGTGAATCCAAGAGGGACAAACCACACCAGACCACAAGCACTGGGAGTGGCCAGAGCCTGCAGCAACTCGTAGCATTAGATCACAGTGGAGAACCATGATTGACAAGGAAGTGTATAGCACAAGCATGGATCAGAGAGACCTTGTGTGCTCCCAAAGATCTCAGAGATCCTGAAGGAGTCCTATTCATTCAGTGACTGTCCAGGTGCTGGTAGGGGCCAGCATCACAGTTCTGGCTCCCAGGCCACTTGGAAAACCACCTCAAATTTCTTCCATTTGGATCCAAAGAAACACCTGATAAACAGTTGGTGTTAATCAGTGGTGAGCCAGGTCCCTCCCCTTCATTCCCAAGAGTCATCATCAGTGCTTCGTGACAGGTGGTTGGTCCTTGTGACCACATTCAACCACACAGTTTCAAATCAAGTTCTTGGCCACCCGTCTCACGATGGAGCGAAGCTGTCTTTCTCAGAGCTTTGTTTTTGTGAAGGAAAGGATTTTCAGCCCAGCTTCAGCCCACAGCAATTAAAGAAAACAAATTTCTGCGTGACGGCTTGATGGGGCTAGTGTTAGCAATTCCCGGTAACGCCACCCTGGCTCTATAGAAGGCAGACACACATGTGAAGCCACCACACGATTATGAATCAAGGCAGGGACAAGGAGGTCCAGTCAGAGTCTCAGGTAGTCATGATCTCCACTGAGCCCACACTGCTGGGTTGATGCCTGGCCCCAGGGGATGGGGACAAGCTTCTTGCCCCTTTAGGCTCAGCTCCAAAGTCAAGCTGTAGAGCCGTAGTGACCTCCTTTCTACACTGGCTTCTTGCTCCAAGCTGACTTCCTCCTTTCTAGAGCTCACTTTGAGCTCTAATTCTCATCTCAGTTGGTTATTGGGTTAAACACAGATGACTTGAAGGTTTCTCATTCCCCTTTAGGGCCTGCTTTACCCAGGAGACAAAGGCCTGGGACCTCTATCTTTGCTTGCTTATTGGTGAGTTGCTGGTCTTTCAAGGGACATGGCAGTGAGCAGCAGGCCTAGGTGTGTTTGGATGCTCAGAGAGCTCTGTCTACTTTCTCTCTCCTGGAATTCAGGCACTCTCTGTTTTCTGGATGACTTTAGATGTACAGAAAGCGGTAGTAGCTGAACAGGGATCAAGACACTGAGACTTGATACCCTAAGTCATCTCACCTTAGACAAACTCCCAGATTTTCTGTTGACTAACAAATGAAGGAGTTCTGGCTGCAGATACACAGGCCCAGTGGGGCCCCAAAGAAGATAAGATCCAGAATTCTCAGGTTAAAAGACAGGGGGCCCAGAGTGGGAACCATAAAGGATTGTTTTGTCTAGGTATCCCAGGATGGGCTGGAACTCACCAGGGTACCTGTGAATGACCTTGAACTTCTCCTCCCGCCTCCCCCTTCAGAGTATTGGGATCACAGGTGTGTGCAAAGGCCTGTTTATGATGTGCATGGGATCAAACCCAAGGCTGCTGGCATGGAAACCTAGTGAAGTACCATCTGGGCTTTGGCCCCAGCCTGTCCTTGGGGTTTCAATAAAACCATAGGTTACTTGTGGCCAAGACCCCAAAGGTACCCATTCCTGGGAGGGGAGGCTGTTTTCTCCCAACACCTGGGCAGAACCGGAAGTAGCCTCTAATCTAAATCAAGGAAGGAATTCCTTCCACCACCCCCAACCCCGCCTGCCCCCTATGGAAACTCAATCTCTATACTACTTAGCCCATCACTCAGTTTCCGTGGTCCTCGGGGATCAAGAATGGACAGGGCTTGGCTACCTGTAGCAGAGAGGTGATCCAGGCATAGGATGGGTTCCTACTGCGACTGGAAGGGTCTCAGAGGGTCAGGATGGAGAAGGGGCAGACATCCTGGACCAGCTCCTGGAGCAAGCACCCTGGCTTGCGTCATCAGGCCCACGCACTCTGAGACATCACAATCTGGGGGCTGCGACCCCCGGGCCTCATCATTGTGCGTTAGCGACCAAACAATCCAACCAATACCCACCCTGAGGGTGGGGGAGGGAAAAAAGAAAAAAAAAAAAGGACTGTCCCGAGGCCGGCTCCTCCCGCCCCGCCCCGCCCTCTTCCCTCCCGCCCGGGGCCCCCGCCCCCGCCGGGCAGTGAGCGCGCGCCGGGCGCCCCGCTCCGCCGCCCGCGCCCGCCCGCCAGCCCGTCCGCCCGCGGCGGGGCCGGCCCTTCGCCCGCCCACCGGCCCGGCGCTCGCTGCCCGCGCCTGCCGCCCGCCGCCCGCCACCCCGGCCCGCCGCGCGCGCTCCATGGCTGCTCAGGAGTGGGATTGGTTCCAGCGCGAAGAGCTCATCGGCCAGATCAGCGACATCCGTGTGCAGAACCTGCAAGGTACCGCGGCCCCGGCCTCCTCAGAGGGGCCGCCTTCTCCAACCGTGGGCCCCGCCGCGTCCCTCGCGCGCCCCGGAGCCGGCTGTCGCTGGCCTGCGCCAGGCTTGCAGAGCTCAGGGGGTGGGGCGGTGCGTGGGCGTGAGTATGTGTGCACGCGTGTGTGCACGCGCACGTGTGCACCCCATTCCCAGCAGGGGACCCTCACCCCCCTCCTCCCGCCTCTGGTAGTTCGAAGAAGTTTGTACGTGGACTCCCGGGGCGGTGGCCCAGGTCAGGGTCAGGAGAAAGTGCCACTGTGTGTACCCTGTGTCAGACTTGGCTCGCACTTTCCGAAGTACCTGTGAGGCTGGGGACCAGGAGTGAGGGGGCATAGTCCGTCCCCAGGGGTGGTGGAGGCACACTGTGGATCCCAGTGAACTGAGGATAGATCTTCCCCACCCAAGCCCACAGACTGGGAAGGAGCTGGGACCAAAACCCTTGCCTGAGGCAGCTGACAAGATGAAGAAACTCCTGGTGGCCCGTGCGTCAGACGTGGGCTCTGTGGTTCTGTTACCTTATAAATATGATGTATCTCTCAGAAGAAAGTATTGGGTGTGGTAACTTAGCACACAGACAGACGCACAGACACACACACACACACAGAAACCCACACCCCTTCAACTCAAAGGCCATTGCCTGAGACTCTGTGGGTACAAGGGGGTTTCCAGTCCTCTCTCTCCTGTGGGGGCTTTGCAGAACTAGACAAAAGTCCACTTCTGGCCTCTTCACCAGCCTGGACCTGTGGACAGGTGAGGCTGGTTTAGCCACTAACCCTACTGACTTGGTGTGTGTGTGTGTGTGTGTGTCTGTGTTGAAATCGCAAGGATCCAGCTGGGAGGTCTGGACAGAGGTGGGGGCAGGAGGTGGGTGTCCCTTTGCCAGCAGGGCAGGGAGCCCCTGCTGGGGGTGGGGAAGAGTCTAGATTAAACATTACACCTGAGAGAATGTTTCCTGGGAGCTCACGTGGCCCTCTCCAACTGAGGTTTGGCAAGGACAGTGCAGGTCTGCAGAGGTGACCTGAAAAGGAGCCAGCAGGCACCTCAGGGAGTGGGCACTGGGAACTCTGTGTGCTGGCCCCTGCTGCTGTGATTTGTGTCATGGGAGGAGGGCTGGAGCCACTGTGATGACAAGAATCTGAATCCGGTCTGGGATGGGCAGTCATACCTTTTGCTGAGACGGTATCTAGTTGAGGCCTTAGGCAATCGCAAGGCATTTTAATGAGCATGTACTAACCAGAGCTATTTGGTGCAGCAATTCTTGCAGGGTCAGCCCCCAGTGCAAAGATCAGTTATTGTGAAGGAACACGCGACAAAGTGTCACAGAGGAACAGGACTGCACGGCGTGGCGATGGTTTGAGATGGGTCTGGAAAGTTTAGGAGTTTATAATTAGGTGTGTTGGCTCCTCACTTGAGATTACCACCCTACCACACTTCGAGGCAAATATCAGTGATAATTTGAGCAGCAATGGACTTTGTTATTAAGAGGCAAACTTCAAGTCTCAAGTGTCAAATGTATGACACACACGTGTAATGTAGATTCATGTAGAGTGTGAGCTCAACATGCTTCTAGATGTGGGTACACTCAGGTAATCGCAACCTATGTATAGATTCCCAGATCCCTCCATGGTTACCTCATCTTCCTTCCCAGACAGTAACCTCACCCGCCCACCACCAAGATAGCCTTTATTCTGATCCCTTGTTTTTAATTCCCGAAGGTTTGGTTTGCCTCTGGAACCTGCATTGAAGTTGAATGGTGCAGTGTGTCCTCTGGATCTCGCCCCTTTTTGATCAACTTGACGTTAGTGAGATCCATCCGTGCAGCCTTTTCTATTGTATAGTCTTTTTTTTTGTTTTGTTTTGTTTTTTTCGAGACAGGGTTTCTCTGTATTGTTTTGGAGGCTGTCCTGGAACTCATTCTGTAGACCAGGCTGGTCTCAAACTCACAGAAATCCTCCTGCCTCTGCCTCCCGAGTGCTGGGATTAAAGGCTCGCGCCACCGACGCCCGGCTTGTATGGTCCCTTTAACAGCTGAGTACTACCCCCCTGCATGGTTATACCACCATTGTATCCTCCATTCAGCTGATGAAGGACCTTTGGGTTGTTTGCAGTTTGGGGAATGTTATGAGCACGAAGCCAGCGGTGTCTTGGGGGTAGACTTTAGTTGTGTGCAGTTGTTGAGTGGCACTATCTGTTTTGCCTGGTGTTATTGAGATAAAACGAGAATGGCGTTCAAGTCAGGAATCTTCTATTTTCTCTCTGTTTTGGGGCCTAACAGACATACCTCTTTTTGCTCCTGTGGTACCTGGATGGTCTCAACTAAAGGCTCAAGTCCGGAAGGCATCCTATGTCTGGATGGGCAGGCTGGGGACTGCCTCAAGGCCTTGCTCCTCTGAGCTCAGGTGGGCTGTGGGCGGGGGTGGCAGGCAGAGCCTGGCATAGGGTTTGTTGTATAAGCTTGTGACTGTTCCCAGTGAAGGTGGCCATGGTGTCTTGGGGCTCACAGTTGGAGACAGTGGGACTTCAGGGTATGTAATCAGAGGGATGGAGGCTCCTGGTACCCATGCACAGGCAGTTGCTCTGTCAGGTCCTTCAGGCCTGTTTGGAGTCTTCCGTTCCTGGCACGAGGTGGCGAGGTGGTTCTGGGGCCAGCAATGAAGGCAGCTGAGGTGAGGCCCCGGATGCTGCATCTCAGAGAACAGCTTGGAGTTAGCTGGTTCTTCCTTCCCGTGTGTCCGAGCGTTTATTAGGAAGCATGTTGACTTCTGTCCTTGCATTCCACCTGGGCCTGTGAGGTTCTAGAATCCAGGCTGTGATTGAGGTGTGAAAAACCTTCCCTAGAGGAACACCGGTGTGAAGCGAGACCAGGTGGGGTGGGTGGAAAATCTGCCCTCCCTCAGGGGGCCTTTCCTCCATTATCAGTCACACAGCAGGTGAAATTGTCAGACAGGAGCACATGGTGGCCATCAAGGTGTTTGTCACCAGGGCTGTCTGGTGCAGCAGCATGGTATTCCTGGGCACAGACTGCCTATGAAACCTTACCAGGGTCCTTGCAAGGAAGTGGGGGGGGAAGGTGGTGGTGACTCAGGCTGTTGACCTTTTCACAGAGGAGAAAATGACACATGGGAGGATTATCCAAAGCATAGGCCTGCTGATCCCACTTGTCCTCAGAGCCATGGTGGGTGGCATAGAGGTTAGAGGTGGCCAGGTGCCTGCTCCCGGCCTTAGTTCTCCGTAGACTGTCCCCTGGCGGTCTCTAGCATCCCGAGGACCATGCTGGTTGGTTTTCCTATCCTCTTTGCATCAGCTGAGTGACCCACTCTGAACAAGGGCTTGGGAGGCTTCTGTTTGTTAGGAGCAGGCCACTGGCCCCCAGGCCACAGGTTTTCTCTGTTCTCCTTGACTGATGTGGGCCAGGTACATCGAACCTTGTAGGACACCATCTCAGGCACCAGCACAGGCAGGGGTCAGTTGCTCCATGCGGCTGTGTGGAGGTCATCCCTATTTTGTGGCCCTCTCCTACTGTCTGGTACCTTAAAGACTTGATGCCGTGATCCTGAACCTCGTGTTTTCTCTAACAGCTTGGCTTGGACTAGGCTATCAGGGAGGGATAGGTGAGGTGGATGGGACGGACATCTGGCTGCCCCATCCCTCCTCTGAGGGGCACTCAGCATCCCTGCCACTGCCTGGACCCTGCTGGCTGCTGTCCCTGTCAGACATTCCCGCCCTCAGTCTGAACCCCCTCAAGGTCATGTGACTTGTAAATCTGGCTGGTATTTGAACCCAGGTGAGGCCGAGGACAAGCATCCTGTGGGTATAAGTACATGGGTAAGAGGCTGCTAACCTCATTGATGGTGGCTGAGAAGGTTCCAAGAGGGGCTTTGAATTTGAACTTTGAAGGCTGACTGTAAACTTCACTTGGATTGGTTTGTCCTCTGTAGGGCATCACGTGTATGCTCCAGAAGGATCCATGCTTGTCTGTGCTATTGTTTCCCCATCCTTGTCACTGGCCTAGGCCCATATGCACACTCTGCTTGAACTTGCGTGGGCTTCTCACTGGCCTTTTAAGGCTTTGGCCTGGTTTTACCTCCTCTTATACATCCACCATCCAGCCACCCCATGGTGTCCTTGCTAAACCCTCCTGTGAGTTTGTGGACTAAGGCAAGAGCTTGCAGATCTGGTCGTGGCAACAGGGACCTGGCGATGGTTTAATTTTCCCTGAAAAGACATGAGCAAATATCCACACAGGACACTAACAACAGATCAAATTCAGTGGGCCAGTGACTTTGTTGCGCTCATCCCCAGAAGCAGGGGTGAACTGTTACTTACAGGACTATGGGTAAGCCCAGAATAGCTGCGTCGCTATAAAGTTGTCCTCCCACGTTGGGTGACAGCTCATGAAAACTGGAGTCCCCGTTCAGTTGACATGCCACCTCCTATTTACGTTAGCATTTCCTGAGACCGTGTGCTATGGGTATTGGGACACAGGAGCTCGCAGAGAGGGAGTGTAGCTGGCATCTCAGGGATGCCAGAAGGGGCACACTGTCTTGTGAAGCATAGCCGAGATACTCTGATTAAGATGACAGTGGTCATGCTATGCATGAGGACAGCATCCCAACC